AACCGCTCTGTACATCTCTTCGCTGATTGCTCCAACCCAATAAGCGTGGACGAGCCTGACACTGTGCTAGGATCTTTGCAGGAATCTAAGGGAGCTAAGATTTGGTTTTGCTGGTGCTCGCCCCACCCCACGCGGGACTGCAGGCAGGGCAGGGGACAGGATGGGGGTTCAAGTCCCAGGTCCGTGTTCGTTTAGTCTGCGAACACGTTGAGTCCCACACGCGTGCCAGGAACTCGCGCGTGGAGAAGCTAGAAGGTCAGTCTTCAGTGGAAAAACAAAGCCTGCGACGCCGCGGGTGCCGCCCCGGGCCTACTTTCCCCATCCGGGCAGCGCTCGCCCCGCCCCCGAGGCCGCCTCGGAAAGGCGGCTCCGGCTGCAGGAACCGGCTCCGGGCCTGCCCTCCCCGGTTTCCGCCGCCTGGGCCGAGTCCTCGCGCCACCGGAAGCTCCCGCCGGGCCGCTGGGAAGCGGCGGCGGCGCCAAGGTTGGTTGCACTGCACCCCGCCCCCACCCGCCCCGGGACTGCGGGGGCTCCCGGCCGCCGCCCCAGCGCTGCCCGCCCGTGACAGCCCGGCTCCAGCTCTCTGGGGCGGGGGCGGGGGCTGCCCAAGTGCGGGCCCCCCCGCGCGCCTCCGGGACCTGGAATCCTGGCTACAGAGCCCTGACCCAGACTCGCTGCCCCCGCCCTTCCTGCGGGCGCCCGGGGCAGCCCTGCGGGGGCTCATCCTTCAATAGTCGCGGGCACCGCTCCGCTCCCATCGGTGCGCACGCATCCGGAGATGTGGCGGTGGCGAGACGGCCGTCACCAGCCCGCGCGGGGCGCACGAACGGGGCTGGGGGACACGGACAGGTCATCCGGCATCACCGAGCCGGGCGGGGGGGTGATTGTGATTCGGCTGCGGGACGCGGTGGGATCGCAAAGCTGGGAGCCCAACCTCATCCTGGGGCGGCCCACCGGGACTCCCAGGGAAAGTGGGGTCTGGTCCAGCTGCGCCCCGAAGGACAAGTGGAAGGCTGGGGAGACGCGGGAGTACAGTACAGAGACTCCGCGTCTTCGGGCCCCGCGGGGCGGGGGGGGCGCGGAGATGGGGCTGATGGCGGTTCAGAGTGGAAGAGAAGGGGGTTAAGGAGACACAAGGAGGAGCAACCACAGAAGTGGGGGCGGTGGGGAGCACGGAAGGGGTGCAGGAAGCCACAGCAAGGAAGGGAACTGGAAAGGAGGCGCCAAGAGGCGTGTCAGGTGCTGGCCACAGGGCTGGTTGGATAGAAACTGGGACAAGCCCCGGGCATTTGGCACCCTCGACCTTGAGAACCTTGGGGAGATGGTTCCATGGAGATTGGAGTGAGGAAGCGGAGCGTCCGTGTAGACAGTATTTTCTAGAAGTTATGTTAAAGTGAGAAAGTGTAGATGTTGGAGAGGAATGTGGAATGAGGGTAAAGGGCGTTTTAAAGCACCATGTGTGGTTAGAACACAGGCTCAGGGCTCCCGCGTCCCTACTCACTATCGGGGAGTCCTTGGGCATGTCACTGAACCTCTTGGTGCCTCAGTTCCCTTTTCCGTAAAATGGGGATGAAGATGACAATACCTGCCTCATAGGCTTCACGTGAAGATTAGATGAGATGGTGCCTGTAAAAGCACTTAACACAGCACTAAAAGCACCTGTTACTTTTCACTTGTAATTATTAGAGCAGCTTGCGATATTTTGCTGCTGATAGGAAGGAGCTGGGAGGCATTGAAGACACAGGGGAGAGAAAAGGGAGCAGAGAGAAAGGGACCGAAGAACTTGGATGGAGAGAGAAATCTTGGGTTCCTGTGCCAAACCAAGGGAAGGAGGGAGCAGGCCGGGACGCAGGGAAGTTTGCAGGTTTGGGGTATGTAGTTAAGTGAGTGGCTTTCTGATAGTATTTCTCCGAAGTAGGCCTCAAGGTTGTTTGCTGAGAGGGCCAGGTCAGGGCTGGCCCAGGTGAGAGTGGAGGTCCTGATTTCCACTGCAGCAGTAGGGTAGGGTGCCATGCCCTCTTCGCCAGCGACCCCAGGCAGACTCGGCATCGCTCCCAGGAAGGTGGACAGTTGAATTTACTAGGGTCAGAGGACAACGTCTGACTTGCCTTGCCCACTTGTGAGGCTCATCTAAAGTTGATGGATGTGAAAACACAATATAAGCATAACTTAACCATTTTAATCTTTCTTCGTGACCTTGAGAAGCTGGAAGGGCTGTGGCCATCATCAACATCAAAGCTTTTCGGGCACTTCACTTGGGCCGTGCACCATGCCATGCTTTCACCCAGGATCTCATTTAGTTATTACAAGTCAGGTGAAGTAGGTATTAATATTAACCCCATTTTGCAGATGCAGAAACTGAGGTACAGAGAAGTTACTGACCTTGTCCCAGGACCCACAGCTAGTAAGTGATGGACTCAGGGTCCCAACTCAGATCTGTCAGACCTCGAAGCCTGTGATTTGAAACTACTATGAAAGTTTGCAAAACCCCTAGTAGCAACCCAGCAGAATAGAAAGGTGTGGAGCGATCATCTTTTCCATTTGGTAGGTGAGAAAACAAAGGCTAGAAGCTCTGACCCCCATCCTGCGCTCTGTAGGCTCCACCAAGCTGCCTTGTTTTTGCCTCTCTTGAATGGGAGGAAGAACACAGAGCTTAGAGTCCCACAGACCTGGTGGTCATCGTGCTGTACCACCAGGTGCTGTGTGACTTTGGACCAGGCATCTTGCTCCTCTGTGCCTCCACATGCCTGCGGAATTCCTAACAGGTTGCTCTAAGGAATAGGAAGGAAAATGTTGCCTGGGGCATGGTAGATGTGCCAGGAGCCATGCTTCCCACACAACCATGGATCTGCATCCCACTTGGCTGCTGTGACCAGCTCCTCCTGACCTTGTATTTATTTAGACCTTTGTTCTCCTCAGGGCCAGGAAGTGGTGGCGCCTGATCCGAGTCTGTGGCCATCTATGACTTCCTGAGTGGGGCCGTGGAGGTAGGGCCCTGAGCAAGTCCATGGTCCTGAGGCCTCAGACTTCAGAGGGGAGGGCCAGGTGTCACACATACTGATGAAGAACGCCACGGGCAGGGCTGGGCCATCAGAAGCCTTCCTGCTGGCCTTGGCCATGGGGTACCAGAATTTTAGACCCCAGAGAAGTCTTGGAGATAATCCTGTTGCAATTCCTTTTTTTTTTTTTTTTTTTTTTTTAATGGATGGGGTAACTGAGACCTGCTGTGCAAAAGTGACTTTTACCTAAGATACTCTGGACAGGGCAGAGCTAATATGCATGGAACTTGCATTTTTGGACCTGACTCCAGAACCCTGGGGCTTTCCACTGGGGCAGTGAACACCCACACCGAGTATCCTAGGCTCCTCGGAGGTTCCAGGGAACATAGACAAGTCACCGACTGGGGCTGTCTCTGCCCCTGTCCCCTGGGGAGGAAGTGGAGGAAGCCAGTGGCAGCCTGAGGTCCTCCAACAGGGGAAACTCTAACTGTGGTTCCTGAAAGTCTGTGACATGGTTCTTTTTTCTCTCTGACTTGCTTTCCCCTCCGTCTTGCTCAAAAGAATGACTGGACACTCCTAGAGCCTGCAGTCACCATCCAGGGGATTTTTTGCACCACAAAGGGTAATTCCTGTCTCATCCCTGCTGTGACTCAGCTGTGACGTTGAACCGCACAAGCCAGCGAGAAGATAAAATCATCGGACTCCTGTGCATCAGAGAGGGTGGCCCGGCCAGCACTCACCTCTCCTCCCAGCACAGACTCCACGGAGCTGGTCCCCTCCCCAGAGGAGCTTGAACAGGGGCCCCCCACCAGCCAGCCTGGGACCCTGAGATGGCCTCTGGCTCGGCCAGCAGCCCCCACCCGGCCCCCGATGAGAACGAGTTCCCCTTTGGGTGCCCCCCCACCGTCTGCCAGGACCCACCAGAGCCCAGGCCCCTCTGCTGCGCCGTCTGTCTCTCTGAGAACGTGAGGTGAGGGGTCGGAGGAGAAAAGGCGGGTGGGAAGGAGGTGCCAGGGAGGGACCCCTCACGGGAGGCGAGGGTGAGAGGAGCCGTGGTTTTGGGCAGGTGACTTCACCTCTCTGGCCTCAGCTTCCACACCTGTTCCTCGAGGGTCCCGGACACTGCCCCATCTGACTGTCTGTGGAAGGAGAAAAAGCCACAGAAAGACGTCAGCTCCCTTAGCAGAAGGCCATCCGGGGTCAGGGGGAGAGCCTCTGGGTCCAGCTGGGCTACTTACTGTGTGGCCTGTGCAAATTGGTGTCTCAGCCTCCTTGTCTGTAAAATGCCTGTACAGTGATTTTCTACCTCCCAGCATTGTTACAAGGCCCAGTCAATAACATTCCAAAACATCCTTGTAATAATGAATATAAACTCTGGTAAATGACAAACTGCTGTACAAATATAACTTCTTCCACAGTATCACCCATCACCTCAGACTGTTTGCTGGGAATGCTTTTCAAGGGGACTGGATATTTTTTGTATTCATATATTATACAGTTATGGATGTATATATAAAATATGTATATATTTGCATATAAATATATATAATGCACACATTTTGCATGTGTATAAAATATATGTGTATAATTTACATTGTATATTATATATTAAAATATGTGTATATTTATATGTAAAATATAAATAACTCAGAGAGGTGTGACATCAATATGATTGTCAGAATCCCACCTTAAGCAACTATTATGTACCAACTGTGTGCCAAGCACTCTTTC